AAACGTGATTGTCCAAAAATTCAATCCAACCAAAATCAATTCCGAAAATAGCATCCAGAATACGCTGTGCAAATACCAATTAGAATTTTATCCAAGACACACAAAAAATAATAATAATAATACAACCTAATGCATATACAAAATAACGTTTGGCCAAAATTTACAAATACTACCAAGATACACATATACACATAAAATGAAAATACAATTAAACTGTAAAAATTTCGTACATAATTCAAATGAGCAATGAGATCAGTGATACTTAAAAAAAAATTTTAAACTGCAATACCTAAACAAATACACAAATAGTCATTATGTTAAACCATATCAAGTCAAAAATATTTCACTGTAATTCAAATCAAGCCAAAAAAAAAAATCAACCAGCAAGAGTGAAGTGTCGCTAAAAAAATTTTCAAACCTCAAAGTAAACACTAGTGAGTAACAACACCAAACTTAAGTCCCCTTAGTAAGACAACACCAAAAAAATTCAGTAATTCTAAAAAATCCATTAGGTCCACAAAAAAAAAAAAAAAAAAAAAAAAATTCAAACTAGTCAAAGAAATCAATCAAAGCTGGACTGAAGCACGTTACTAGAACACTAAATAAAATATCACAAATCAAAAAAAGTGTTCAAAACAAACCCCCCAATTTTAGGCAAAAACTGAGATCTATTCTGCATCAGACTCTTCCAAAACGTTGTATAGTAACCTAAGTAGCAGCCTTCAGCAACACCTCCACCCAAACAAAAGAAACAAAGTAACTCTTTACCGCGTCCATGTAAGCTGAGAAAAGCGCTGTATTATAAATGACAGACTCAAACTTTACGTATCAAGCAAACCTCCAGACACGTTGAAAGAGAACATAAGATCTCTTATCTCGGAAAGAAAAGTGCGCTGACTGAAACGTTACAATCCTGAACCAACACAATGAAAAAAGATACAACAATAGTTTTCTCAGATAACAAGTTCCTGTTTGCCCCGGTGTAAGAGGTCAAGTGCCACCATGAAGTGCAAGTATTTACAAGAAAACGAGCTTTCAGGACATTACAACTTCACGCAAGACCTAACTGCAAGCAACAAATGCAAAGTTCTCAAAAGTGCTAAACTAAAAAAAAAAATACTCATAACTCGTAACTCAAAAATCCCTAAAATCACACAAATGAAATCCATAACTCAAATTCTACTATTTTCCTATGACCACAGAAATCTCAATTCTTCCACAGAAACTAAACATCAGAGAACTTACATTTTACGGACCTTGGCAGAAACCACCAAAACAAAACAAAAACCTGATACAACTATCTTGATACTACCAATTCAAATACAAAACTTAAGCCAAAACAAGAATTAACCCCAAATTCAGCAACAAGTCCAACCAAGAAAGAAAATTCAATAACTCAAATCAAATCTATTACGATTCACTAGCAAATTCAAGACAAACTACTTGTAATCAACAGAAAATTCCCACACATGAGTACAGAGCAAAAGTAACTAATCTTCTCAAACTTATTTCAAAAATTTTCACAAAACAAATTCCCGTTGTCACAAAATTCTCATTAAACTTCACTTTCTACAATTCACAAGACTAAATTTCTACTGTTTAAACAATTCTCACATGACAACTCTTCACAAACTTAAAACTCAGAAGATAACTAATCTCAATTACTCTGACTCATTAAACTAATTAGAACTTCACTCAAGCTGAAGAATTCAATCCAAAAAAAAATTAAATATGCAAACATCACTATTGCTGATCTCAGGCAAAAATTCAAATCTAACCCATGTTAACTTTAAAACAGAATTTGGCAATTGAAAAACAATCTTCAATTTTTTAACTCATTCATTTGTATCATTATGCCTTAAGAACTTATAAAATTCATTGCTCAATACTAAATTAAATTTTCTAACACATTACACAATATACTGGAATCATATCAAAACATTGTAAATCAAAAAGCAATAATATACTACGCTAGAGAATCATGAAAACATTACATACATTTCACAAAATATTATTCAATTAAGTCAAAAAAATCAAAATTTCTCTAACGTTACCCCTCACAATTACACATTTCACAAGATTCTAGGTTAAATAATTAGCAAAAACACACACAAAAAAAATTTCTAGCTACGCATAGCTATGGCTTGTCTCATTCAGTAAAATAATTAGAGTCTTTAATCTCTTTCTCTTAGAAGTGCTCAAAAAATGAGTCCAGTTTTTAAACCGACAAGCACTCGAAACTTTGTTACAAGGATACACAAATAGCATAGGATTATCGTGAAATAATTCATTTTCCATCTTGTATCATAAATCAGTACGTCGAAAATCAAAAATACACATCCTAGAAAACACTCAAGGATTTTCAACAGTAAAAATGTACAGTACCTATTCTGCTACATTAAAAAATATATATTTTTCCTAATTTTAAAGTTCAATTCTGTTTGCCTAACGTTAAAGTCCAAAATTTCCTGAAATTCACACAACATTTTCAAAATTTATCACTCTCGTATTAACAAATAAGCAAACACAAATCAAAAACTCTAATTAATCCTAGCACATAAAATTTAACTCCTTCTTAAAACAGTAAGTTATACAAAATAAATAAATTCAAAAATCAAGTTACTGATTCGATCCTTCACTAAGCAGAGGTCACGGCACCAATGTTATATGAAATTTCGTGAGAGGATCGAATAAACACAAAAAAAAATATAAACTTATTCAAAAAAAAAAAAAAAAAAAAACATCTTGAAGTGGAGGAGAGCTCATATCTTAGCTCTATCCTTACGTCACTTGGCAAATCCGCAAGACAGAGACTCGAACGGCACGACAATAAATTACATCAGCTATACCGTCAAATCTTACGCCTGCTACTGGTTTCCATAGAAGAAAATTATTCCCACTGGAAGCAAGAGAACAGCTTACACCGCACGGCTGTCTGCCTAGACTCTCAGCTCCACCAAGGAAAACGTAGACAATTAAGCTAGGCATTTTAGAGAACGGCTAACGCAGGCTTCCAGTTGACTAAGGTGACATAATTCCTTCTGTTTTCAAGTCGGAGTTCAGAGGACAACGTCCTGACTTTTGCCGATACAGATAGAGACCCAAGTCTCTGTTAATTTTTTTTTTGTTATTCGCTCAACAGTTTTTTTTTTTTTTTTTTTCTTCGCATTTTTGAGAAAACCCGCGGCCGGGGAGCATAATTGCCGCTCCCCGCCGGAAGCACAGCTCGATGCCGACTAAATCTTTTCCTTTCTCCTTCGCAACACCCACAAGTTTTTTCTCAGTCTCAGTCTCCGTCAACAAGTCCGTCAAGCCCGAAAATCGGCGAATCCAAGCAGTGAGTGCCTAAGCGAGTCAAGAGTAAGAGTGTCCAGAGTAAGTGTGTAAGAGAGTCTCGCCTCTTAACCAAAACGCGGCCGGGGAGCATATTTGCCGCTCCCCGCCGGAAAACACCTCTCGGAGTCACTTACATTTTGTCCAGCAAGCCCAAAAATCAGCGAGTCAGTCCGAGAGTCAGCCAAAAGTAAGTGTGTCCAACTCAAATTTCCTTCTTCTCCTTCACCAAACGGGCTCCCACTATGGCTTCACTTATCGCCCCCTTAATTATGGCAAAATCTTCGTTTTCAACTCCAGAATGCGGAAATAAGGGTGATCGCGCATGCGCGCCCTTCTTCACTTAGCCAACAACCGGACCCTCAATCGCCAAAAACCTGAATGACTTACATTGAAAGACAAGTAGCAACCTTTGACCTTTCCGTCACGTACTTTCCTCTCTTAAGGTCAACTAACAATGAAAATTCTTTCTCGAACATTCTAAAGCGCGCGAAATCATGACTTGGCGAAAATTGCCTCCCTTTCCCTGCTTCTTTCACAATGAATAAAAGTTTGTACAAGATTTACAAATAGAGGAAAATAAATAATACTCTTTTAAACTAAATAATATTTCCAGAAGCATCTGTTTTTCCCCAAAATTAAAGCCTTAAATTAAATAATTCAGAATCAAAATAAAATTTAAATTTCCATAAATCAAAATCATCACCTTTTTAACGCTATCAATATTTTAATAAAAACATATATTCCTAAACATTTCTGTTTCTTAAAAATGGAGTATTATGCAAAAATTAACAATTTGCTGATTATTATTCGTTCATAAAACAATTATTGTTGCCTAAGCTGACTTACGGAAAATCTGTATTACAGTACAAAATCTTTAATTCGGACAACTATAATCCTGACCTCAAAGCTACAAACTTTCTGCGCATGCATTGCACATAATATGTTTACGCATGCGTGTTTAATGTATAACGGACGGTGTAAGCTAGGCTAAAATTATCTATTTCAGTTAAAGAACTGAAGTCTGCCGCAATAAAAGGAATTCCATGAAGTTATATTTTACCTTAAAATCCATTTTTCTTCCCCGTTTTCTCAAAGACTTTACTTTAATTTATCAGTGTTTTATATGTGAATTTCCAAGTTATCACAATGAAATTTTTAAATTCCTTTCTTAATTTTTCTAAGCTTTTCAATAGTAGTAAAATCACTGAATACTTGCAGATTGATTCAGGTGCCATGTAAGTGAATGGTGTATAATTGATTGTTTTTCCTATTTTATCTGTTTGGAAAAAATAAAAATTATAGTTACATTCCTTCCAGGTGTTCTATTTTTAAAGAACAATAGTATATTTGATTACTCTGCACTTCTTTAAATTTGTGGTCTTAACTCTAGAAATTTTAGTCATAATAAGAGGGTTAATGTAGTGAATGTATATGCACGCAAGGAAAATGCTTGTTCCTGCTTCTGTTCTGACATGATTATAGAAAATTTATAAGTGTATTAAACCAAAAGTGCATGAAGTGTTTAAAATAGCAGAGCTTATGAATAAATCTATTGTAAACATGACTGTATTAAATTTATGTTCTTATCTTACAGTTTATTATTGAATTGTATTTTTATTTTGGTTGTTTTTATACCAAAAAAGGAGTTAATTTTTTAATTTTAGAGAAAATTCATCGTGTAATAGCTCAAAGTGGATCTGCTGTTGCTGATTGGGCAGTAAATTCTAATAATTATACAGTTTTCAACAATAGTATGGAATTTGCTTCAACGTTAAATTGCCAGTCTCCATCTTCTTGGAGGACAGTTGAGTGTTTACGTTTTGCAACTTTAAACCTCATTGAAGCATCAAATTATAAGGTAATTTTTGTTATTGATTTATGTATGATAAAATAATATACAAATGGAGATTTTTGAAATGAATGATTTGTGCAAAGAACCCCAAAACTAAAAGGTAGAAATGCTTGAAATGGTCAAAAATATTATGCATTGGAAAATTTGGTCGAAAACTTATTAATGAAAAGTGTTAAAGAATCCTATATTAATACTTAAACACCTGGTAGCTGCAAAGAATAAAATGCACCAAATATCAAAGCAAAATGTATTGTATGATTGACATTAATGGGGCTTGATAGGCTGTATTTACTCGGAAAATATTTCTTCTTTATCTCTTTAAATTTACTCCTTTTTCCTTGCTTGTTCTAAAATTTGGCAGCATTCTTTCTTACTTCTAGGAACCCTAATTATAACTAACCCTCTATCTAAATCTTTTGCTTTAGCTTTCATATAATGTACTGAATAATTCTTAACATTTGTTTCATTGTTTCCATTCAGTTAAATCTTACACTATTTGTATTATAATGTATCTGATATTTCAGTAGAGTGTGTTTTGTGTAATTCATTTTTTATTAGCATAAATAATGTGAGGTAGGTTCTCGCTCTCTGTAACATCTTTTATTTCTATATTGGTAATTACTTTTGTGTAGTTTTTGCCAATGGTTTTAGTTGCTTCTCAAATTTGAATATTCACTTTCTTCTGGTGATATTCTTAAAGTTTGTAAATTGCAGCTGATTCTTTTAACAGGCAACCCATGGTTAATGGTTAATTAATGTAGTTATCACTGCATGGTTCTTTATATTGGCACATTTTATGTAAGTCATTGGATATATAGCGTCTGTTCCTCATATAAATACATGATTGTCTACTACTTCTGTCTACTGCATTTTATTTTTCGTATCATCATGCTGTTTTGAGAATGTTTAAAGAAGCTCATTTCAGATTGGAACTGGCGACCAGATGTCGGGGATTTATTGATTGTCTTGGTATAGCCATGGCTGAAAACATTTTCTCTCTTTTATAAGCCAAAGTCAAAATGCCTTCTGCACTAGTAGCAAACTTCAAATCTATATTTCCTCCTTGCACCTGGAAGAAGTGGGTATCTTTCACTCAAGCCTTCTTTTGGAGCAGCTGCTTCATAATTAGAATTTTTTGCATTTTGTTTAATTGTAGGTTTTCTGATCATCTCACATTTTGAACATTATCATGTACATCAAATTTCTCTGCTGGGCGTTTTGAATTTCTGATTTTCTCCCCTTCATTCATGAAATACTCTTTCCTGTCATTCCTTACTTGCTTTTATATTTCATTGGTAATTGTTTAAATCTCTTCTGTCTTAATTCCTAATCCTGCTAGATATTTGCTAATATATGTACTTATTTATGCATAAAATTGCTGTAATTTTTTGTGACATGAAATTTCACAAGAACTTTTCTGGCACTAAATCTTTTTGACAGAAGCTGTTTGATGAGGTTAAAGTCATTACCTTTAAAATCTGGCTGTTGCGTAATAATTTTTAGTACTTCCATAGATAAATAATGTAACAAAAATGCTATGTAATCTTTATGTTCAATATTCACTGGCATTTAAATAGATTTTAATACAGTACAAAGTCAGATCCGGACGTTCAATATCCGGAATGGTCTAAAATCTGGACCTCAAAGCCGCAAACAACCCCTTTTTTTTGGTTTGTTTAAGAATTTTTGTATGGTTTTCGCATGTACATTTTATTTTTTTTCCCATAATGAAACATGTAGAGCATTCTGATTCTTAATTTCACTTCAGCACTAAATAAAATACCTCGTTATTCAAGAAACAATAATTTTAGCATAAATTTTATGATCAATAATTTGGCTTTTGTAGCCATGTATCTATCTGCTTGGCATACATCTCAAACTGAAACATTCTATTTAGAAACATCGTTGATTTTACATTATGAAATTTAAGGGGAGCAAGGTAATAAATGAAGATGATATAACAGTTTTTCATTGTGATGACAATGCCCCAATTATCAATCAGCAATCAGTTAACGGATGGAAAAATCTGTAGTATGGTTCTAGATCCATAAACTACCACTACCGAAAGTGATGAAAGTGGCAGAGAGGTCAGTGGAGAGGAAAATGAAAGGACAGAGAGAAAAATGAAAAAATTTCGATTTATAAGTTAGTCGGAATTCTCAACACAGCAATTATAGGACTCGAACGAAATGAAACTTTGTAACTGAACAAAAAATTATGTCTCTTTATAGAATTAAAGAGAAAGTATTAGCACAAAAATCGAAGCAATTTAAACAACTTACATTGAAGTTGTTGAATGTTTAATAAAGTAAACAAATATTTAGCCTTTTTTTTGTAACTTTTGACATCCTTTAGATCATAAATGCTTCATTATTTCATAATTAAGCTTTCATATTTTTTATTTCGACATGCCATCTTACTAGATTTAAGTTGATCTAATATCCAGAAAAATCCCATATTCGGAATCGCCAATGTACTAATGAATCTAAATCATCTTTGTATTGTACAAATTATTGTCATCTTTATGTTAAAATTTTTAATCATTTTACAAAAATCAATAGCAATGGTGAGAGAGCTGTCTTACTTTCTTGTTAGTAGAATTGTTACTACAGTCAAAAGTCATTAATTCGGACACCCATAATC